TATCGATTTGTCATGGTTCTCCCACCTTGGATTACCTGGGAAGAAAGCATCTAGTCTGGAATTAGTAACAAGAACAATTTTCAGAGGGAGGGGGTGGCTTGTGATAGAAGCCTGATAAAGATTTTCAGGCCTGTGTTGACTAAGACTTCTGGGCTGTAGTGTAAACTCAGCATACAATAATTAAAATAGTTTTTTAGTGATAGAGAATTTACTGCATCTTTTGAGAGTTAATCCTGGTAGCTAATTATACTTAAAACGTGCTTTTTATCTCCAGATTAAATTTGCAGATATTGGATTCTGTTGTGTGTCTTCCCACTAATTTACAGTCTTCTGAAATATCTTCTTCTTGTCTAGTTGCTTAAAGATTATAATCTTCTCTTTGAAGCAAAACACATTTAGTTCAATGGCTCACTAGAAGAAGACTTTTTTTTTTCCAGACCTAAATCATTCTTATTGCTCCTCTGCACTCTTCCCAAGTTTATTCATTTTTACTTATTCATTTTAAAGGTATCATAGTTTCCCAAAGGCTTGCCTGCTTTGTTCACAGAGACATTATGGTTTGCTTGTCTTCATTCATGTTCACATCAGCGGCTGTCCCTAGCTAAGCAATTGGTACAGCTCTTCATGCCTGCTGTCACAGGGAGCAGTCTGACACCCTTGATGAACTGATGGAAAGAGCAGGCAGGTGTTATCTGAGATCCAACCTAAAGGTTTTATTGTCTAACAGCATTCAGAATCTGTAGCCAGAAATAAAGCAGGATCTATTCCAAATGATTGTGTCTATTCTTAGCAACAGCGAAATCTTATGTGCATCATGGTAGACCTGTATGATGGGAGGGCCATGTCCGGAGTTGAGGTGATCAGGCATGCAGAATGCATGCAGAATGTATGCCTTATGGTGGAGGGGCACCACAAGGGGGAGAAAGCATGATTTTCTGGATAAAGAAAAGAAAACAATGCAGTGTAACATTCTTGTAGTTGTGCCAACTGCTTTTGCAGTTGTAGGAGGGTAGTACTGTTACCCAAAATGGGAGCAACACAAAAAAAGTAATTCTGTCATTTTCTGTCAGTTTGTTCTCTGTAAACAATGTAAATCAAACTCTTGGATTAGATGAATGATGATGCTTTCAAAGCAGTGAAGGTAGTGGTTAAACAAATAGATCCAAATAAGAAAAGTCAAGGGCTTCTCACAAGTAAACTCAGGAGCTGACCATCCTCACCTAATTGCTTCTGAGTCCTGCCAGCCCAGCTTCACATAAAGGAGAGGTTTTAAAATGCTTGACTCGACTTATTCTTTTCCCTCTTATTTTTTCCAAAGTAGGTGAAAATTTCCTTTTTTGTATCATTCTGTTAATGAAAAGGAAAGAAAGGTGGGTGGGGTGAGTATATGTGTGTCTCCCCACCTCATATGGAAAGAAAAAACAAAGGCAAGAGAAAACAAGCTGAACACAGAGGCATGGAAAGAAATTCATGTTGAAAAGATGGTAGTGATGGAAAATAGGAAAAGTGTCACTGTGATCCCTCTGTCTCTGGATAATTTCTTCCAAACAGACTGTGACAAACACCTGCGGCATCTGAAGAAGAAAATATACTTCCAAGTATTTGTTTTATCCTAGTTGTATAAAAGAATTGCTCAGGAAACGTGTACTTTCTTAATCTTCTTTGCCACTCCATACTATTATGACAACTAGGACACAATGGGACAATAACAGGATCTTGCAGTACCTTTCTGTTACTAGGCTGTGTTACAGTAAATGCATATGTGCATCTTCAGCTTTAACTTCTGGTACAGAAATGATTTAAGCATTTTATGTAGCTCTTCTCCTGAGGAGAATAAAAACTTCTCTTGAGGTTTACATTTGGTCCTTGTTTAGGCAGGCTTCTGTTCCAGACCAAAGTCTTATTTTAGTGAGGTCTAAGAAACAGATAGTGCACAAATACACCCAGGGCTTGAACACCTCTACGAATTTGCTGTGCTATGTGCATATTTTATAGTGAAATACTCAGATGCCAAGCATTGACACTTCTCCAAAGTAAAAGCAGTAGCAAAAAGCTGTACAATTTCAAAACATCCCATGACAGTTTTGTAAAGTATGGCTTTTTATTGTGAGTGGGCTGACACTTTCCTACTATTTTATTTATTTGATTTGTTGAATAAGGTTGAATTTTGCCGCCAGCTGAGTTATTGTGGTACCACCTCAAGAAGTGAATTCTGCAAAGATAGGCTTCAGAATATTGCCTGATTTCTGAAATCAGCTCCGGTTATTACAACTGAGTTGCTCAGAAGAGAGTACATGACAACTACCCGCAGTATTCAGAAGGTGCATTAAGTCTAACTTTGGTTTTGTTGGGCTTTTTTTAAGCTTTTAAATAGTTAATATAATCCCATCAAATCAGGCGGTGGGTTTTAATTTTTTGGTAGAGGAAGGTGGAAAAATCCCCTCACACCATGCTTTAAAGCTCCATTAACAAAGACCTTTACTCAAGGAGGAGATGTTAACTAGTAATGAAACAAAGTCTCTGTTATAGAGATTAAATGTGCGTGTGTCTAAGTACAAAGTTCATGTTGCAAAGTGCAGCTGTTTCTCTGCTCATAACCCTGCAGCAGCCCCAGAGCCCCAGGTTCAAAGTCTGCCTGCTTTCCTGTCACAGAGCTGACCAGGGCAAGGTCTGGCCGAAGTTCAGAGTTCAGTGTCGGAAGGCTTGCCGGCTGTCTGCTGTGCTATCTGACGCAGTTGGGATAAGCAATAGTTGGCTTAAGATTACCAGTACAAACAACAAAAACTTCCCGTTCTCTGTTCTGGTGTGTCAGATGTGTCCTTTCATTAAAGAAGGAACATTTTGGAAGGAGCCACTGAATTGTTCAGAAATAACGTGCTGAATAATAGAGCAACCTAACCAAAGCCCACTGAAGGAAGGCACTGACTAGTAAAATAATGCCTGCAGGAAATACTGCCTGTTTGCATTCTCCTTCCTCCTGCGATTTATTTAAATGAGGAAAAATTATGTAAAAGAACTAATTCTAGATATAAAAAGAGATGAAACTGAACTATTCTTCTTTTAAGGAAAAAAAAAAAAGATGAACAAAACTAGTCCATGTGTTTCCTTTGTGTGACAATAATGGGGTTCCACACTGTGAGGGTGAAGAGAACTTAGTACGCCTGGATATCCTTTCAAATCCTCCTTTTTTTCCTCCTTCAAAGCCTTTTTACCAAGCTAACCCCAACTTTCTTGTTGCAAACCCCACCTGTGCAGCTTTTTTGATTAGCTGTGGTCATATCAAAGGCTGCTGTACCCAAGCACAGACCCTGACCGATGGCTGAGAGCAAAGGCTGGTATAAACACCCTTGGAGGAATTTATATTTTGGGCAATGCTGTAGCTGTATTACAGACAGAGAAAAGTTTCCTATCTGTTGCCACATCCTTTCTCAAGGAAAGGATGGTAAACCGTGGGTGGTAAACCGAGTCATCAATGCTCAGTGCCCACAGTATGCCACAGGTCTGGGTAGACTGCTGGCATCTCATTTCACTGAAAGAAACATGGGTATGCAGAAAACTTTCTCAGACATCAAAGGTCCTTTTGTGTTACAGCTTCTTTTTCTTTGGGTTCCGTAAATTTAATCATTGAGAGCCACAACCGAAAACAGGATGCAAGAAAAGACTCTAGTAGCCAAAAATATGAGTACTGAACCAAGAGATTTGTGTGTTTATATATGATGATTTTTTTCTTTCCTGCAAACATCCCTGAGTCCACCAAACAGAAACCTTCCTCTGATGGGTCAGTCCTATGCTTTGGTTATTACCACAGGCCTTACCTTCCACTTTTGAGTGTACTTGAGAAGCTAACAAAGACCCCTCAGTGAATACATCAGACGGTGATGTATACAGGTTCAGATAGGCACATGACCTACTTAGTGCTCAGAAGAAAAAAAAAAAAGGAAGAAAAAAAGGTCCAGCCAAAGTCCAAAGATCCAAAACAATGTGTTATAATGGCTGAGCCCTTCCTGGGAGGACATGAGGAAGGAGAAATAACAGGACGTGCACCTTGCAATGTTCCATTCCTGTCCTGGACTTTGGAAACTCAGGAACATCTGGAGTTTTTTCTATTTGGTGTTTCCGTGTCACTGTAGTGAACAGATCAAGTCATTGAGATTAGCAGTTAAGCACTGACACTGGCAGTGCATATACATAATTATTTAATTTGGTCTGCACTGATGCAAATCCCTGACATAGCAGCACCTGTGAGTAACAATTTCTGTTGCTCTCTCTGCTGAAGCTCCTCCTGAGGCTGGGGCATCTCTGCTAGACGCATTACACTTGAGCTTCAAATCTTTGTTACCTAAGAAACTCTGACTAGTGCCACTTCTCTCCCCAGCACTGTAAGATGCTGAAAACATATAAATGGGTGAGGAGAGGATGATGAAATTAACAGATGTAAAGCATGTACATTGCTTACTGTACTGACAGAAGTCCTTCAGATGATACAACTCTGCTGGGCAGTAACTACAGGTCTGAGCCTTGGCTTGCCTTACCCAAAAAGATGCCCCTGTAAAGATATTACCTACTGTGTGAAGTGGGCTTCTTTAATTCCTTTCTCTTGGCATTGACCATACATCAATATATTTGTAGGGGAAGGTACAATTGGAGGAAGGAGAATAGTTCCTACAGCCTTAAGGTTAGTAAGGTTGCATGGGTTAAGGTAGTAGGCTGAAGTTCAGGCACATAGTCCAAATGAAGCAAAAGAGGAACTTGGACCAGGTTTGCAAGGTAGCAGCTATTCTGATTGTTGGCTCTGTTGAAGTAGATAAGTGAATATCTGTACCTCTCTTTCTTGCCTTCCCCTCCCCCTGTTCTCATGACAGTCTGTCACTTGGCTTCAGTTAGAAATACAATAAACTGAAAAATTACTTGCAGGTCAATCCTTTTCCTTTCCATTTTCCCTTTCCCTTTTCATCTGGGTGTATCTGCTTTTGTTTAAAATTACTTATTTTCTTTTTCAGCTGATAGCTTGAGAATCATCCCACCTGATGCCTACTTGACCAAAGAACCAGATCCTGCACTAGGGCTGTGCTGATACTACTTGGCTGCAGACCTACTGGGATCCTAGCACTGAGAGAGACCTAACAGGTAAGTAAAAATCAGAGTTTATTTGATGGGCTGAGGGCCTTAGAACAGTGCTCTGCCATCTGCCCCCTCTGAAAGAAAAAAAAAGTGTCAGGAAAAGGGTGTGCACATGCAGATATTATTTGCAAGAATTTTTATCTTGAAACTAATATTCTTCCACTAAGAATCTGTGCCTGTGAATTGTTTTCTTCTCAGTTCACACAACCTCCAGCTCCCATTTTTGTACCCTTTCAGGTAAGGCCTCCTTCTATCTAGCTTCTCTCTTCTCATTCAAATTCAGATGTCATACGAAAGTATTGAGGAACTTCTTTTGGTAAGAATACTGGAAGAAAAAAACTAGAATAATCTGAAATAGGCTTGTTCCAGCTGTCCTTGGGCTGGGTTTTCATTTGTTTCTGATTTGTTTGTTTGTTTTGCTCTCCACTTCAGATTTTATTTTTTCCTGCATGTCTTTTGCATTAAGCCTTGTTCACACTGAAGAAGTAGAGTAAGAGGGCTTGTCTGAAGCTAAAGTTTCATGGATTTCTTCTCCTAGCAAATTCTCCACCACTCTTTCTTTCTTCCTAATGCATACTGGGTTACATCAATAAGATGCACAGATACTCAGAATGCTCAGTAAAACATCTATTATTTTGCATCATATTTAGTAGACCTGTTAGTAGAACTGTTTGTGCAGTAAGACTTTTAGTTGTATGATTTAATCTTAAAAATCATATTTCAAATAAAAGAAAATTGTATACAAGGTAAATATTAAAAGCAGAAGAGATATCTGGATAGCTCATTACTTTATATGTCAGTAATACCGAAACTAGCACAACTTCAAGTAGTGGCACATGACACAAAATTAGAATGAAAGGGCAAATTAAAATGAAGTTATTTTTATATGTATACATACATTTGCTATGTAAGGGCACTGAAAAACTTCTTCAGAAGAGTTGGTCAAGCAGTAATGTTTTTTCTTTCCATCCATCCAGGTTAAATCTTTCACTGGCAAGAACCTCAGGTTTTTGCACTTCAGTCCTATAGCATGCCCACCTTACGTAAAATGTTTGAAAGTCTGCTTTTCTAAGAAAAAACTCAGTAAAATCATCAAATTTGTTGACAACCTATTAATTATGGCATAATATTGGCGAAAGGTTTAAGTCTGTATTATGAAAGCACCTTGTTCCTTTGGTCTTTCTGTCTGACACAAGATTTCATATGAAAACACAGATTTGTATTGCTTCTGCTTTAAGTGGAAGGTTCTGCATGGTTTTGTCTGTTGTCTGCATCTGCACTCTGGTTTGACATAAATAAGGATGGAGCTCTGCGGTTTCTTACGGAAATACTGGTTTTAAATTCAGAGTTCAGACTGTGGTAGAAGCTTTTGGGATCTCAGTTATCAAAAACACCTCAATAAACTGTCACATAAAGTGGTAGTGATTTAAATATTGAATGATACCTTGACTGGAAAATGAATGGACATAGAAAGATCTTCAAGAGTTAACACAGAATTTGTTTCTTGACAGTGTTTCTTTTAGCTTATTCTTCTTTTCCGTATGTCACACTCACACTCTGGGATTGATCCTCTGCTCCTGCTCTTGTTCCCCGAAGTGCTCCCTGCTTGACTAACAGTACGGACGTGGTTTTCATCTGTGGAGAATTTTCCAATTTTTTAGTCATAACTGAAAATTTATGTGCTAAGTTCAACTCAATGAATTACATGACAAGTCTGCAGCAGTGCAGACGCCATCAGGGAGACAGGGAGACTGGCCATCTGTCTTGCCAAGTATCTCAGCAATCCTAGGACAGAGCAAGCTTTCTAATGTGTGTCATACGTGACAATGAGATGTGCTGACTTTTTGATATATACGTGTACAAAGTTCCTATTAAAGATTTGTTTCCAAATGAGAGTTAGAAGCAGCTGAATATATACTGTGCTTTCCTGTCTGCTGGAGAGGAAGAAGGAAGGAAAAACATTAGGGTATTTCAGCACATTATCAGCCGTGCTGGTGGGTGGTGTGAAGATCAAATGGAGCAAGTATACTTCTCACAGCTTTTAAGGTGTGTGCCTGCATGTGTAGGGCATGTTCCATTAGTGCAACTTAAATGATCACCAGTAAGCTTTTGCTTATTTATATAAATTGAACTTGGACCTATATACTATTTTGATATATTATTCATATTTAAAAATTTTGTGCTATATTTCATGCTGAATATATAACATTGGCATGCTTTTATTTCCTGTGTTAATAAGCAGACTTGCCTCCTTGTAAGAAAATGAATTGTTTACTTTACAGACATAAAAAGAACATACTCTTTGGAAATACATATAGCATGATCTGGTCTGGCTGAGAGACTGGTAAGTTCACATTGAACAGGTGTTCAAATTATTGCTACAATTAAAATAGCTTTTGCTGAAACGTATATAAAAATCTCTGAGAATCACGCATGAAAGATTTAAAAATGTGACTGAATTTTTTATTCCTCTCTCATTTAGATAGCTCATTTTTAAATGACAGTGAAATTGTTTTGGCTTATGTGGTTTCAATTATTATTGGCTGAAGAAGTAGAGACAAGATAAAATAATTGGTTATCTTCAGTTACATGTTAAGATGTATTTATTAATTTTATCAGATAAAGATCCGTGAATTGAATATAAGCGAAAAGATTTTTTATGGTTTTCTTCTGAGCCACAAGCTTTAGGTCAATGAAACCTTGCTTTCTTTTTCAAAATAACAAATCAATTTATGAGAATGATAAAGTGTAAGTTTTCATCGTAGTCTCAGTTTGCTGAATGGACTCTAGTACTCTGGAGTATTAATGATGCAGGGCTTGCTTACTTTGACTGGTACCAGTAGCCAGTCACTGGTTGTGCATGGCTGCCCTAGGGAAACAAAGTGAGAGAGAGAAAAAAACCTGGAACACCACCTTACAAAATAAGCCAGAATCTTCCTTGTAATAAAACAATGTGGCAAAAAGACTTTAATTCCTACATTTCTTCATGTCTCTGTCTTCTGTGGAATTCAGCAAGTGACTCTGGGTACAGTCAAAGGGTCCAGCTTCTATAATGCAGTGTTGACGTTTTCACAAAATTAAGCAGATATCAACCCCCGAAATATTACCTAAATGAAAAAAAGAGATGCATGTTTTTAGTTCCATTCCTTCCTTTACATGTAATAAAGGTAGTTTTCACATAAGGAAGATAGAAACAATACTGCAATTTAAGCATCTTGCCTCTAATTGTCATTAGTTTTTACTTTTCTGTATTTATATAGCCCCCTTTTTCCCTACTTTGCCATTGACTTTAATGGCTAAGAGCTAATGCGAAGAAGATGGTTCTAAAAAAAACCCACCATCCTGTATTTCCTGAGGATCAGCTTAGTGAATCTGCCTTTGAGCTGCAAAGCCATTCCAATATTCAGGATTTTAGCCAAGGCAACAGGGAAAAACTCTTCTGTTGTGCAAAAAAATAAAAGCAGCAAAAAAACCAAGGGTCTTCTAATGATCAAGCTGAGATGATAGGACCTTGGCATATGAAAAACCCTGATGTAGTAAATCAAAGCAGGCTGTCTTGAGTGTAGTAATATTTTTATGCTAATAAATTAGTGTCATAAGTGATTTGTCAATAAGATGTAGAATATGCTACGAAGGAAGTCAGACAATATTTTTCTTTCATGTAGAAAACTAGGGTGAGGTCATAGCAAAATCCTCAACATGATTTTTTTCTAAGAAAGATGCTGGTGGTCTGACCCACTGCACAATATTTGCATATTTAAATTCTTATATGTCTAGGATATCTTACATACCTAAGCTAGATTTAGCCATTTGGAAAAGTTTAATGAGAACTGTTATAAGGAGCTGCACTGCAGTAGTAGTGGAGAACACTCCAGTCAAGGGATGTGCAACACTTTCAAAGCAGTGGCTCCAAAACTTGCTTGAGCAGATCTATGTGTGAACAGGGAGAAGTTCATGGCCCATTCTACCCTCTTCTCATAGTGATGTTTTAATTCATTCCTGCTTTTAACAGATTTGGGAGTTGCATGCTAGTACTGAATTTAAAAGTGGCATGTGGATGTAATGCATCTCGAGCTGGCAGTGTCAGCATCAGAAATGGTAGTCTCCTATTATTAATCTGCCTAACAGGTATGATACTGAGAAGGGTTTCGATCTCTCTCAACACCCAGACAGTTTGGAAGGGCAGAAGTCTGGTTTATTTGCCATACTTTTAATGGAAATTTTTTTCTGCGGCTGCAATTATCTTGATGCAACAAGATAGTTTTCTACTGGCACTTGTTTTACTACTCATTTGGATATTCTTGTAGATATGTGTAATGTATGTGAATATTAATCTTTCTTGTGCCAAGATGTTTTTAAGCTTTCTCCCTCACTCTCAGGTCAATATGTCTTTTCAAAATCACAAGCATAAAGAACGTTTAACCCAGAATCTATTGTAAGACTAACTGCAGTCGTGGTGTAGAAATGCAGAATTTTATATGCAGTCACCCTCTGCAAAAATAGGTCTACTATAGCTGGCTGTTGGGTTTGTGAAAAATGAGGGGAATTCTCTCTGCTAGTAACCATGCCAGTGGCCAATGCAGACCAGCATTGGGCTGGCAGATGGCTGTCCCATTTGCAGCATGATTAAAGCAAATACTGTATGTACTGTATGTACTGTTCACACAGATATACCAACTGCCTTATCTTCAAATTATCCTCTGCATTGCTAATTCAGGATAAGACCTTCTTCTGTAGTAATAAATCAGGTTCTTTGCAGTTTGGACCTGATTTTAAGGGGGTAGCCAGAGCATGTCAGGCAGTGACTCAGAAGCAGCTCCCTGAGGTGGAACCCCAGTTCAACTGTTTGCACGTTGTACTGTACATTCTCGGATCCACCTCTGTATTGTGCCCTGCAATTGTAATTTCTTCTTGTGGGTTTCTGATTTCAGCTTGTGATTCCTGGGCTGATACTTATTCCTATCTCTGGCTGCTGACCCTTAGTTTGACTTTCTGGTTCCTGATTT